GAATTGTGCTGGCCTCATTTGTTATCACCTTGATGTCCAGAGAAGCAAACTGGGGGAAGAGTGGAGACTTTGGCTATATCGAGACTGTAACGCTTTTCTGGGATACCTCCAGTATCCCAGAAAAGCAATGCTGTATCCAAGGAACATGTCCCCTTTTTCAAAAAAAAATTTCAAAGAAGCGGATGTGCTCTTTCACCATCCCTGTAAACCTTGTTCTATGAGGAAGAAGGGATGTGTCAAAAAACAGGTTTTTCTGAAATTTGGCACTGTGTAGACACACTACATTTCAGAAAAGCCTCTTTTGCCAGAAAAGCAGAAAAAGATATGCAAATTGTGGTTCTAGACATAGCCTTTGAACAAGATACTTTGTAAGATCTCTACATTCACTAACTCTCTGATCAGTCTCTTTGGTTTTGATGAATTCAGGATTTAGAAAATCCCACTGACCAAAGCTGCCCTTAAAGTCCTACATCATGGTCCCAGACCACCACGGTAGTAAAAATCCCAGCATCCTTTCACTTGCCAATAGCTAAGACAAAGGGTTCTGCTGCTCACTAGGATATTGCCCATGCATTTGATGGTACCCTTTATCTTTTAAATCAGTCTCTCACTAGTAGGTGTTTACTAAATGTTTTGCAGCCTGAACCTCTGTTATTCTTTAAGGTAAAAGCATAACAATTTAGTATTTCTCAAACTCGAGGTCCAGCCAAAAGGGGGCTGCAAAACTGTTGGGGGGGGAGGAGGCAGGCTGCGAGAGCGGTGTCTGGTAGCCAGGAGCCCACATCTGAAGGCAGTGCCACTGCCAGCAGCAGCACAGAAATAAGTGTGGCGTGGTGTGGAGGGGTTGTTGCTTTTTAAGAGGGGAGTCAGTTATCACAATCTGAAATATTTTTAAAAGGAGTCACAGCAAAAAAAGTTTGAAAATGTGATTTAACTTAGCTGTTAATAGTAATGAGTGCTCTCAGTTACAAGTATGAGATTGAGTTTAAAAACTCTTTGCTTATTTAGTTATCACTCTTCCTGACAGGAAATGTCTTTTTTCTTATGTGTTTGAGTAGTATTCAGCATCTTGGAGCTCTGCTCTACTTCATGGCTGTGTCTAGACTGCCCAGTTTTTCCGGAAAATCAGCCGCTTTTCTGGAAAAACTTGCCAGCTGTCTACACTGGCCGCTTGAATTTCCGCAAAAGCACTGACTTCCTACTGTAAGAAATCAGTGCTCCTTGCGGAAATACTATGCTGCTCCCATTCGGGCAAAAGTCCCTTTTGCGCAAAACTTTTGCGTAAAAGGGCCAGTATAGACAGCTGAGATTTGTGTTCAGCAAAAAAGCCCCGATCGCGAAAATGGCGATTGGGGCTTTTTTGTGGAAAAGCGCCTCTAGATTGGCCACGGACGCTTTTCTGCAAAAAGTGCTTTTGCAGAAAAGCGTCCGTGCCAATCTAGACGCTCTGTTCCGAAAATTCTTTTAACGGAAAACTTTTCCATTAAAAGCATTTCCGGAAAATCATGCCAGTCTAGACGTAGCCCATGAGTTGGCCCCAGGTACAACCAGACTATAAATATTCGTATTTTTATTATGCTTTAGCTTTGTGCTTAGCCAATAGCATCACTGTAGCACAGGTTTTCAGCTGGGAAATGCTGTCCTCCTGAATAACTTGTTTTGCTTGTTCTATTGAGTGGAATCACTCTGTAGGGATGTGATAGTGTAAATATGCAAATGGTTAACTGATTAGCCTGGTAACCTGGAGACTGTTACCTGCTTCTGTAACAGAGAGGAGCCAGTGCTCAGCTTTTAAGAAGACTCCTCTCAAGCACCAGCTCCCTGGGAACCGCCACCTCCCTACCACCCCCTCCATGCAGTGCAGGGAGACAGGCAGAAACAGGTATGTGTGGGGAGCTGGCTTTTAAGCCAGCTTCCCCCACATACTGGCTCCTACAAGCCACCACGACCCCCCACCCCTGCACACTGGTTACAGTTGGAATCCAAACAGTGGATTAGTAATGACACTGAATAAAATTACCAAGATATGTCAAAGTATTACTGCAAGCAATCAACTCATACGGTTAATACAGGCAGTCCCCGACTTACGCGGATCCGACTTATGTCGGATTCGCACTTACGAATGGGGCTTTCTCGCCCCGGAGGTCGGGGCGAGAAAGCCCCGTTCGTAAGCTGCTCTGGTGCCCCTGGTCTGCTGGAGACCGTCTCCAGCAGACCAGGGGCACCGGGCGGGTTCCCGCGCTTCTGAGGCTTTGCCA